GAGCTAGGAGAAGGAATGGGGGGGGTTAACATATTTTATATTGTATACTTGTATGGAAATCATCAACAGTAATAAAAATATACTTTTAAGAATTGGTACCAGGAGTGGGGCCTCTGCTTTGATAAGCATAAACATGCCTTTCTTAGGCCTTTGCAGTGTTCCATGGGAAGTCTGGAGCTTCAGGCTAGAACAACCCTGGAGTTCTACAAGCCGAGCTTAGTGGGCTCTTCTACTTGGGAGTGAGGGAGACCAGAACACCGAGAGAATTGCTGGCAGCGGGGACTGTGTTCATGAAGTTTCAGAGGGCAACAGGCCTGTGTTGAACTGTACCAGGGGCCATGTGTATCGCATTCTGGCAAAGGATTTTACTGCATTCTTCTTAGTGTTCCAAAAATTCAGGTGACGTTGTATTCCAAAGTAATGAAATGATTCCTTTGGCAAAGGATAGTTCAAGATAGCACAGCATTCAGGGTGTGGCATGGTTACTTCTCGCTGCACTTGGTCAGATCTACAGTGGAAGAGCAGAAAGAGCGGGGGGAATGTGTGGTTTGGTGAGGAGAAGAATGTGAGAAACTCTAGTGTTGTAGACAAAAAGAGGGCACAGAGGCAGCATCTGCAATTGTTAAGAAGATTAGTGCTGCCACACACCACCTTTAAACCCAGCACTTGGGAGGCAGAGACAGGGGATCTCTGTGAGTCTGAGGCCAGCCTGGTCTACAGAGTGAGTTCCTGGATAGCCAGGGCTGTTTCACAGAGAAACCCTGTCTGGAAAAAACAAAACCCAACCCCCCCACCCCCCAAAAAAGATTGGTACCATTAAGAATAAATTTTGTGCTCTTACTGGGAATATTGAAAAGGTGTCCTGAGAACAAGACCCCACCAGAGAAAGGTTAAAATTGTAAAAATGCATCTTTGTTTGAAAGGAGAGAGCCTGTGGGTGATGTTGAAGGGTTTCTCTGCTTGAAAACAACTGTCTAGGGGAGTCTTTTCTCAGGTTCAGTCACCAAGGTGCACAGCTCTGGTAGAAGGGAGGTGGATTGCTCCCAGGCTGAGGACAGAACTTCTCAGAGTGCACAAGTTCATTAACAACCTCCTTGATGTATGCAGAGATGCTTTGTGCATGGCTGTTACCAAGAGTGAGGTAGAAGCAAATATGGATTGATATTAAGTGTATATAGTCCAGACTCAAGGAGGATTTGTTAGGGAAGTTTATGTCATTTGGAGAATTAATTGCCTTTATTCTTTCGTCAATTGAACTTTTCAGGTTGTTCACAGTGAGCAGTTTCTTCTTTTCTTTCCTTATGTCTCTGTCTCTCTCCATTTCCTTCCTTTTTCTTTTTTGTTAATTAAGTTAAAAATGAATTAAGACATTAATTTCAGAAGAAATTTCAACAAAACTGTCTCATCTCTTAAGAACCCCACCTCAGCCAACTGTTTATCACAATTTTAAAATGCCTCCAGTCCTTATTTCACCCAGGGAAAACATATTAAAAGACATATACTGGCTTACTTCCAGAGTCTCCAGGTTTTCCCAGGCACATCTCGGCTCCGCTGCTTCCCCTCTTGGGCTGAGTGTGTGGCCCCTTCCAGTTCTCTGCTCCGTCTTTGGATTTTTTCTAGATAAGGCTCTTCTCATCAGTGCCTCCATCTCGAAGCATTGCTTCTTTTCATTGGCCATTTCCTGGTGCTGGGATGACACACTCATGCTTTCTGGCCCTCTCCTGGCCTACCCTCCTGTTTTTCTTTTGCATTTACTCACTCGTACAACTCTCTCTTTGGCTTATACTCTGTTTGATTTGGTTTGGGCTCTAACTACAGGGATTTACCTTCATTGCAAGTTAACCCATCATGATAAGAGCTTGCCATCTGGAGTCAGGTGACTTTGATTTCAGTTTCAGCTCCACCTTCCTCTTACCTTGTGAGATAAAAATGAAGTCCGTTGTTCTCAACCGGAAGCAGTTTTATCTCTCGGGTGACATTTGGCCATGTTTGGACTATTTCTGGTTGTCATAATTGGGGGTTGTTAGTAGAATCCAGTGACCAGAAGCCGGGATGCTGCCACACATCTTACCATGCTCTAGCCAGCTCCTCACAAAGGAAAAATGGTTTAGCCCCAAGTGTCAACAGCACCGAGGTGAGGAGCCTACGTTCAGGTGTGCATTTGTTATGGTCTGTTTTCTCAGCAAATTCACCTTGCGAAAGCCTACCTCTGTGAATACAGGTCCTTCTTACACTTTAGGTCATATGTGAAGTTGATCACCAGGCCATGTAATCTTTACCAAAACTGGTAATCAGACGGAGTGCAGAATCCTCCATTAGGTCATTGCCAGGACAGCGTGGGTAGCCACCAAGCAGGGGCCACAACTGGAATCAGCTGACATTCACATGGCATCTCCATTGACAGCCTATTGTGTGGCTGTGGGAATTTTATCTGATGAACATGGGTCTCAGCTTCCTCCGCTGTTAAACGGAGTCATAACTAGATAGTTAACACTATAAAGTTTAGTGAGACACTTACAGCCCCAGTACTCGGGAGCTAGAGGCTGGAGGATCACAAGGTTGAGATTAGCCTGGATGACATAGCCAGTTCAGGGCTGTTGTGTAGCTCTTCAGAGAGACCATGTCTAAAAGGACAAGGGCTGGGGCCAGTGAGCTGGCTCAGCAGGAAAAGGTGCTGCCTGCCGACTTGCCACCCTGGTTTTCCAATTCACAGGCCTCACATGAAGGAAGGAAAGGAGCAGCAAGCTGTCTCCCGCCTCCATATGCACACCCACACAGGAATGAATGAACAAATAAATAAATAAATGTGTGGTTAGCCGTCTCCCTGGTGGCTAAAAACATTTAGTGGGCATCAACGCATTTTAGTGTAGTCACTAACCCATTGGAAATGGTATTAACCAACTACCATGTCAACTAGGTAAATATTCCGTAGTAATACTAATTTAAAGAGTTACACGTGCACACATTCCCTAATCTGTAATCCCAGGCACAGCATGAACCTTCTGTGGCAGGACATCAATTCCCAGAAAGTACTGAGAGGATCCCAGAGGATGCTGGGAAAAGACGACTTGGCTCCTTCCGCAGATCTATCTGGCACCTCATCATCCAGGGCCCTCGCCTTTTCCTGAGTAGTGGGTAGAGACAAAGACGAGTCTGTAGATGAATGTATGTGCAAGTGAATCAACTCAGGGTTTATACCCAACCTCTGACAGGTGCAGGAGACCCAGGGTGCAGCCAGATGTGGCTGGCGTCTGGCAGGCAATGTTTGCACCTAAACCTCTGAGGTTTCAGTGGGTCCTGGGAGCAGTGGAAGCATGGTGGAGAGGGAGTGTGTGATTCTGTGTTACACTCTCCCCGAAAAGCACAAGTGTTACTTGTCCTCATCATTATACATTTTTTTGCATGACAAAAGGCACAGCATTTGATTCAAAGCGTACCCTTCAACGTCCTTAAGTATAGATGATGATGTCGGAGAATGTTCGTTGCGATCTTAGACATGACACAGCTACACTATATTAGTTGCTTTTCTGTTGCTGTGCTAAAGCACCAAGACCAAAGGCAAGCTATGGAAGACAGGTTTATTCTGGCTTACGGTTACAGAGAGTCCGTAATGGTGGGGGAGTGAAAGCACCAAGCGGCAGGCATGGTGGGCAGAGCAGGCAGCTGAGAGAGCACATCTTCAATCTCAAACACGAAGCATTTTGAGCAACATGGAAGCTGAGCAAGGCTATAAAGTCTCAAAGCTGGCCCCCAGTGACACACTTTGTCCAGCAAGGCTAAAACACCTCCCGAAACACAGTGTCACCCACCGGGTACCTGCTCTTCAAATAACCAAGCCTATGGGCGACACTTCCCACTTAAATCACTTATAAACACTAAGAATAAAATTCAAAATCCCTGCCCTAGCCTGCAAATGAGATCTCTGGCTTAGAGCAGGATCGAAGAAGGTTCACTCTTTGAACATGTGCATGCTAGTACCCCGTTTACCTATATACACGAGACCGCATTGTTCAGCTCAGGGAGAGAGCTAAGGGAGCCTTCTCCCACAGGGCAGCTTCACGCAGATAGGTCATCGTGTGGATTCATTTCAGTGTAGAGAGGTGGTCAAGCCAGGGGTGAGGTGGAGACAGCCATATAAACTGTTGCTCTCAGCAGCCAAGCTTTCGGAAGTCCCGTGGGTAGAGAGGAACGCTTCTGTTGGCTACATGTAGACAGTGAGCGGGGGTCAGGCTTTAGGAATCTGCGGGTGAAGACCCGAAGGAAGAGAGAGAGCATGCGTGAGGAGGAATAGCCAGGACCAGGGCAAGAGCATCCTTCAGGCAGTTGAGAAACAGCCCTCAGGCCGCAGCTGTGGGAGGCAGGGCAAGGTGAAAGGAAGGGAGTTTGTTTGCCTGGAAAGGATTCTGGGTTAAACTTGGGCAAGAGACAGGCAGTCCTTGGGGTTGGAAGAGGGAGATGTTAGTTAAACAAAAACAGTCATGTAACAATCACTGCTGAGGTTGGGGGGAGAATGGATGTAGGGTTTTTTATCACTATTCACTGTGTGTTTGGTTGTTAATATGGAAGGGTTCAAATACATCAGAACACTTCAGAGAACACGGGGAAAGGTTTCAGGAAGAATCGTGTTTAAAAATGTCATAATGAGGCCGGGCGTTGGTGGCGCACGCCTTTAATCCCAGCACTCGGGAGGCAGAGCCAGGCGGATCTCTGTGAGTCCCAGGCCAGCCTGGGCTACCAAGTGAGCTCCAGGAAAGGCGCAAAGCTACACAGAGAAACCCTGTCTCAAAAAATCAAAAAAAAAAAAAAAATGTCATAATGAAACTTAATACTGTGTATATGCTAATAAAATTTTTTTGTTTTGTTTTGTTTTTTTGTTTTTGTTTTTCAAGACAGGGTTTCTCTGTACAGTTTTGGTGCCTCTCCTGGATCTCACTCTGTAGCCCAGGCTGGCCCCAAACTCACAGAGATCCGCCTGGCTCTGCCTCCCGAGTGCTGTGATGAAAGGCGTGTGCCACCGCCACCTGGCCAATTAAAAATTTGTAAAAAGTAAAATGTAATGTAAAAAGTGAGAGGGATTTTTAAAAGGCCTATTAGAAGGTTCCTCCAAATTCAGGGGAGAAGCGGTGGCGGCGTGGGCTGGTGACATCGGAGCTGTGGAGAAGTGGGGGTGCCTTGTGGGTCTATTTTAGGAAGTAGAGAGAACTGGTTGATAGGTTCGTATGTGGAGTGGGAGAGAATCGAGAGTCAAGGATGACTGAGCATCTGCAGGAGAGGAGTTGCCATCCTCGGAGATGGAAAGAGGGAGGGAGGCCGGAAGTTCGAAAGTTCAGCCGAGCTTCCCACGCTTGTTAAAGTGAGTGGAGATGGGAAGGCAGCAGCTGGAGGTGAGAGCCTCTGAGGCTGAGACAGGGTCAGGGGTGGAGCCGACAGTGTCTAGAGAGTGGCTAATGGTTTCCCAGGCTCAGGCCTGGTCTCAAGATGGTGCCATGATTTGGGGCGATGGTAGACACGGAGCTTGTTAGAGGGAGTTCATCCCTGGGGTATGTGTTTTTGAAGGTTACACCCGTCCTGGGTCTCAGCCACTGTCGTCCTGCTTGCCCGTTACACTTCCTGTCTTCAGAAGACCCCGTGACGTTGCTGTACCCCACTACAGGAACACAGAGGCAAGCGACCTTGCACGGCGCACTCTGAACCCTGGGTCTTCTTGAGCAGCTTACGCCAGGGATTCGGAACTAGTACAACGGCTCTGGATGCTATCACCACCGCGATTCTCTCATAGGCTGTGGTCCTATCGAAAATAAAAAGGCCCTTTCTTAGATTAAATAGCCGGCAGTCACACATACACAGTACACACACACACACACACACACACACACACACACACACACACACCTCACATCTCTGAATGCAAAACAAACAAACAATGGATGATCTGAGCCATCTCAATATCAGGACTCTGAATGCATACGTAGTAATCATTTCTGTGAGGGCCACACTATGCCATCTAATAAATTATGTGCTTCTGGGTCACACTAAGTGGAGTGTGTTGGTTCTGGCAGTGTGAGAAGAAATAATTTTACATCTTGAAGGGTTGACTGGAAGACAAATGAAGTCACTTCCTTTCCCCGTGCCAGTAATCTCAGCAGCTGAATATAAATTGTTCGGTATATTACTATATTACTATGCTGGTCACCCTTCTAGTACATCGCCAGCGGAGATGCCCATTGTCCTTTAAACCAGAAACCACATGTGAGCTTCCTCCTCTGGGACTTGACTGAGCATGCTCTGTGGTGTCTTGCATGTCTTCACAGATACTTGCAGTATTTTCTAAACTGACTGATCACTGTAATGGACAGCGGTACCCTTAGTGGCTACCTTAAGAAACAGTGAGTCAGGGGGCCAGGGTGATGGATCCGTGGGTAAAAGCACTTGAGTCCCATCTCCCAGAGCCCACATAAAAACCCAGATCCTGTGATTCCCATAGGCAAACCCCAGCACTCCAGCTGGGGCATGGCAGGAAGAGGCAGGAGAATCTCCGGGAAGCTCACAGGCCCACTAGCCTGGGCTATGCAGTACAGCTGTAGAAATGAGAAACCCTTGAGGTGGAAGAGACCAGCTCTGGAAAACTTGTCCTCTAACCTCCACACAGGCACTGTGCCGTGTTGTGCACACATGTGCACTGGTACACACAGAGGCACATTTACACACTCACATGCGCACAAGGCACATTTACACACACTCATGCACACACAGGCACATTCACACATGTGCACACACAGGCACATTCACACACTCACATGCACACAGGCACATTTACACACTCACATGCACACAGGCACATTTACACATACTCATGCACACACAGGCACATTCACACACTCACATGCACACACAGGCACATTCACACATGTGCACACACAGGCACATTCACACATGTGCACACACAGGCACATTTACACACTCACATGCACACAAGGCACATTGACACGTGCACACATAGGCACATTCACACATGTGCATACACAGGAACATTTACACATACTCATGCACACTGACACTCATAGGCACTCACACACACACACACACACACACACACACACTCAGCAACAACAATAACAAATAAATGAAAAAAGAATACTAAAGAAACGCAAGTCAGTGTGGCCCTCAGGGAATCTGCATTTTGGCGTCTCCATTTTTGATTCCCTCCGGCAGTTGGCACCTACAGCCAAAATCTGAGGTGACGTGGGATTAGGATGTGGTAATACCGGGTTCTTGCTGGGGGGACTCTTCCCCCCTGACCCCAATGCCATTCTCAACTTGACCTTCCATGAGACTAAACATTTGGTTTTCATTCATTTTGAATAAAGCTATTTAAATGTGAAGGTCTCCAGTGGGATTTACATTTAAACATGATCTTAAGGGGAAAAGACCAGAAAAAAAAAAAAAAGCAAAAGCTTTGCTGTCATTTCTTGGGGAGTGTGCTAGGATTATTCTCTTGAAACCACAATTATTTTTAATTTTGTGAAGCGTCATCGTGAAGTTCATATATAGTAATTCTAAGGTTTTGAGATATGCCCTTCTTTAAACACTTATTTATGTATATGTGTGCGCGCACGCGCGCGCACATGCCACAGACTACGGTGGATGTCAGAGAACAGCTTACAGGAGGAGTCAGTTCTCTCCTTCCAGCATGTGTGACCCAGGGATCCAGCAGCAGGGCCAGCAGCAGGTACCTTTACCCCCCTGAATCATCTCCCCAAGTGGCCCCTCCCCCCAAGAGCCTGGGCGTGCTCTCCTTTCCCACTTAAGTAAGGAAATGGCTGAGTTCTGCTGACCTTTGCCCTAAGTCTCTTCCCTCCGCCCTGCTAAAACTCCTTTAGTGTCTTAAGATTTATTTATTTTTCCTGGTACTTTCTTTTCCAAATCTTCTATGACTTATCTATGGCTCACCTCTTCAACTGCGGCTTTTTTGCTCTCTCTTCATCCCCACCAGGCTCTGGACTCAGCCTTTTGTGACCAGATGTTGTCATCCACAAATGCACTGGGCCACATTATGGCTATCCTGAGATACAGATGGCCCCTGAGTCACAGGTTAGACACACCCATCTTCTTTCTGTGTAAGCATTAAGGCCCCTCCTTTCTCTACTCTTCCCGGTCCCAGGAATATCTTCCCCCAGTCTTCACCGAGCTGCTTTTCTCCTCAATGGGTCCTCTAAGGATGATACGCCCTCATTTTCTACAGAGCGTTTGCCACAAGTCAGTAGCTTTCTGTTTGTTGACGCATGTCTGGTTAATTTTCTGTCTCCTCTCAGTAGAATGTAGCATCCGTGGGGAAGGAGATCTTCTTATTGGCTGTGGTGGTTTGAATGACAATACAATGTCCTTCATCAGCTTGGGTATTCACAGGCTTTGTCCTCAGCTGTTGGCACTGTTTAGGGAGGATGTGGAACCTTGGGGGGGTGGAGCCTTGCTACAGGAAGTAGGTCATTGGGGTGGGCTTTGGGTGTTTCTAGTCCCTCCCCACTTCCAGTTCGCTGTCTCTACTCCATGCTTGTTCAAGGCGTGATGTTACTCCCTGTTCTTGCCGCTGTGTCTGCTGCGTGATGCTTCCCTCTCGTGGTGGACTCGTACCTCTCTGGAGCTGTAAGCCAAAATAACCTCTTCCTTCTGCAAGTTGTTCCTGGTCATGGTATTTTCTTCACACTAAAAGGAAAGTAACAGATAATCATTTATCAATGGCCTGCACATGTCTAGGACAATGGCTGGAATGTACTTGTAGTCATAGGAGCCTACAGAAGTATCTCTTAGGGTTTAAGCGTTCAAGGCCAGTTTGGGCAATATAGCAAGACCCTGTCTCAAAACTTTTTGTTTTGTTTGGTGTTTGTTTGTTTCAAGACAGTGTTTCTAGGTGGGCAGTGGTGGTGCATGCCTTTCATCCTAGCACTCGGGAGGCAGAGTCAGGAGGAGCTCTGTGAGTTCGAGGCCAGCCTGGTCTCCAAAGCAAGTTCCAGGAAAGGCGCAAAGCTACACAGAGAAACCCTGTCTCAAAAACAAACAACAACAACAAAAAACCCCAAAACAAAAACAACAACAAAAAGACAGTGTTTCTGTATGTAGCCTTGGCTGTCCTGGAACTAGCTCTGTAGACCAGGCTAGCCTCGAACTCACAGAGATCCACCTGGCTCTGCCTCCCAAGTGCTGGGATTAAAGGTGAGTTTACCACCACTGCCCAGCTTCCTGTCTCAAAACTTAAAAAAAAAAAAAAAAAAGATAGACATGTGGATAGATGGATAGATGGATGGGTAGACAGACAGACAGATATATAAAAATAAGACAGATTGGCAGGACTGATTCGAACCAAGTTGATAAAGGTGGTTGTCCCAGGTATAGGAAAAAGAGCAGGCTTAGATCTTATTTGTTTCTGTTCGTTTGTTTTTACCATAAAAAGAGACATGAGTATAGGTAATTTTCGGGATTCTCTTTTGTGTTGTATGAATTTCCCATATTTTGTAATATAAGCAGGTTTTATTTGAAACCAGAAAAGCGGAACGCTGTCTCGAAGGTAACTACTAACCTCTCTCCCGTTGTTGGAGCAGACTGGCTTCCCTCTTCTTTCCCCAGACACTGTTGCTTTTGTTTCCTGCAGAGGACATCGTCGTCGTTTATTTGGGTGTGAGCCCACGTATTAGAATATTTTCTGAATAGGTGTGTGTGTAGGTTTTCTTGATCATCACGAAGGGAAAAACAGAAGACTTAGATGGTCTCCATGGCAACGAATGCAGAGCTAAGACTGATCCCTGAGGATAACAGCAGCAGATATTCCAGCCATAGAAGGTGTCTTGGCTTGCCTCCAGGCCACACATTCAGTGGTCGGAGTGCCAGTCTTGGGGTCCATCTTTAGCCCCAGCCCCTCTGCTTTCCAAACGTGATGGGAGCCAGGGCGGGGCGGGGGGGGGGGGGGGCTCCTGCCCTCCTGGCACGGCGCTCCAGCAAGCTGTTGCTCCCAACACCCGTGGTTGCCTTCTGAAGTCTGCCTGTCCTTTGCTCTCAGAACCTAATCCTGGAATGAAGTACAGCTTGAGTCACAGTTACTATAATCTCTTGTCTGCAGAGGACGTCTTTGAAGAATCCTAGTGATGCTTGGAAGCTGGACAGTGCTGAACCCAACTGGGTTTTCTATACATGGGAGCCTATGATAAAGGCCTCCTCCCCCACCACACACACACCTCACCCTCTCTCTCTCTCTCTCTCTCTCTCTCTCTCTCTCTCTCTCTCTCTCTCTCTCTCTTTTAGTTTTTTGAGACAGGGTTTCTCTGTGTAGCTTTGGGCCTTTCCTGGAATTCACTTTGTAGACCAGGCTGGCCTTGAACTCACAGAGATCCTGTTGCCTCTGCCTCCCGAGTGCTGGGACTAAAGGCGTGCGCCACCACCGCCCGGCTCTTTTCTTTTTTTGAGACAGAGTCTCATGCAGCTCAAAATGGCCTCAGACTTGCTATGTTGCTAAAGAGGACCTTGACCTCTTTCCTGTCTTTAACATGTCACCCTGGCTGGGTCACAGGGTGTCCAGGCATCTATCTGCTCAGATGTATTATATGAATGTTTCCGTGAGAGTGTTATAAGCAGCTTTAACATTTGGATCCATAGACTGAGCCAAGCAAATGGCCTCTGTGGCTGGGCTTCCCCCACTGAACACAAAGGCTGAGGAAGGGAATGCCCCTGCTCCCGTTATGCTGGGCCTGGGCTCCTGGTTTGAACAGAGGAACCCTGCCTCCTGTCAGGTATTTGGTCACAGCTAGAAGAGAAGCAACTCAGACAAGAGGTGTTGAAACTTTGTCTTAGAACCTTGTGGTATTCTCAAAAATCACTCAGCAGTTTCCTTTTCCCTGCCTGATCTGGTTATTGATATGCATTCTTCCAGAAACGGAAGCAGGAAAATTGTAAATTTAAAGTCTATCCATTTAAATCCATAAACCCATCCAACATATCTGTTTATGGAAAATAAGGAAATGAATTTTTGAAAGGAAATGAAATTTAATGAGAAGAGTGGTACATTCTCCACTAAGGACATTGAAGTCATGCATGTTCTCTGGCATCCAGTCTCTAGTGAGATTTTTTGTTTGTTTGTTTGTTTGTTTGTTTTTCGAGGCAGGGTTTCTCTGTGTAGTTTTGGTGCCTGTCCTGGATCTCACTCTGTAGCCCAGGCTGGCCTCAAACTCACAGAGATCCGCCTGGCTCTGCCTCCAGAGTGCTGGGATTAAAGGCGTCCGCCACCACTGCCCGGCTTTCTGGTGAGATTTTGCTCTTGTTGAAGGAGAGGAAACAGATTTGGTCTTTCATGAATGTGAAGTTGGGGAGGGAAGGGTATTTGAAGGACTTATTCTTTGATATTATAACAACACATGCCAGCTCTCGTTGTACTAACCCCAAAACCAAACTGCTCACGCTGCTGTTAAAACTTGTTGCCCCAAGGGGCTCGAGAGATGGCTCAGCACTTAAGAGCACTTGCTGCTCTTCCAGAGGACCAGAGTTCAGTTCCCAGCACCCACACCAAGGAGCACACAACCCTCCTGTAATTCTAGCTCTCCCCCCAGCACCTGCACTCACAAGCAAATACACACAGTTACACAAGATGAAACATAATAAAAATAAATTTAAAAAAATTATTGACCTGGGCCAGTGGGATGGCTCAGTGAGTTAAAAGTGCTTGCTCCACAAGCCCACCTGAGTTGGAGTCCCAGAATCCATCCATGTAAAAGAGCTGCATACAACAGCATACAGCTATAATCCCAGACTTCTACAAAGAGATGAGAGACGGGAGAATTAAGCTCCTCGGTCAGCTCGCCTGGAGTACAAAGAGCATCAGGAGTGAATAGAGAGACCCTACCTCAAGAAAGTGGAAAGCGAGTCAACTCCCAAAAGTGGTCCTCTGGCCTTCACAGGCATGCTATAGTGTGCGCATGTACACACACACACACACACACACACACACACACACACACACACAGATCATTTAAGTATAACTGAGCAGTACTCCATCCTGGATGCAACATTTTTCTGACATATGGTTGTATAGCACTGAGCATTGATAACTTAGAATACCGCTCTTTCCTGGTTAATGCAGCTTTTCCAAATGTTGATGCTATCACTGTATAGTTCCAAACATACCACTTTTGTTAATATAGGGAACCACTGATCTTTTCGGAAGAGTCCTTAAGCACACAGAAAAATTTAAGTGCACAGTAGATCTGTTTTCAATATTCATTTGGGGAGGGGTGGGCACAAAGTCTCATGTTCATGTAATCCGGGCTGTCTTCATATTCGCCAAGTAGCCAAGGATGCCCTTGAACTTCCAATCCTCCAGCCTCTGTTCATGATTTGAATTGAATGTGAAAGTTCAACGTTGAGATAGCAAATATCCCAGTTGTTTTATGTGAACTGCCAGGCTTAAGGCAAAGGCTGGGGCTGAAGAGATGGCTCAGCAGTTAAGAGCACTTACTGTGCCGGATAAGGATCTGAGTTCGAATCCCTAGCACTGACCATAAAAATTAGGGCTGTTCCCGAGAGGGTGCTTTCTCAGGTCAAAAACGATAGGCTACTTTTGTCTTTGTGTCTCAGAGACACAAAGGGAGTTGAGTTTGGGAGAGATAGTGGAAGCTTCCCAAATGTGACTAAGGGAGGAAAATGAATGATCGGATGATTGAATGAAACTCTGACCAACTGCTTTTCCTCCCTGCAGGCATCTTCGGTTGTGTGTGACAGTCTCTTGAGACATTCCTCAGTGGCTGCAGGAGGCTGGGCTTTGGAACACCTTTGGCCACCTCTCTGTGTCTTTAAGATCCTGTCACATGAAAGACAGCTGACATACTAACCTCCTCATCTGCCGTCTTCAGTCAGGGACACTGAAGGTTTACTATGATGTGTCCTCATGAAAGACCCATCAGGAAACCAAAGAGCCTTATGGTGAGACAGGCCTGCTGAGGCAGGGGGCTAAAAGTCACGTTTGAACATCTGCAGCTTGTCATCGCCAGCCTGCGCCTGCCTCGAGAGCTGGCGCCATTTCTAGTGACTTCTTGTAGGTCGCACCCGATTCAAAACCCCTCGTGAAGGTTGGTGGTGACAGAGAAGCAAGCTTTGGGAGACTTCCAGACGTGACTCATTCACAGTCACTGTGTGCAGAAAGATGAGAGAATTTTGAAGACCCCTTTATCGTTCATTTTTGCCAGAGCAGTTTCTTTTGTTACTAGGAAGAAACAGAGTGACAGACAAAGAGTCTGTAGAGGTGACTCAGTCAGTACAGTGCTCGCTGGGTCTGATTTGATCCTTAGGACTCACCTGTAAAAGAAATACCTAGGCAGCATGGGTCTGTAATGCCCGCTGTGGGAAGGCAGGGACAAGTGGATCCCTTGGGCTTGCTTGGTTGGTCAGTCTAGCCAACGAGTGAGCTCCAGGTTCATCCTGGAGAGACCCTGACTTACAGATAAATAAATCAAATAATATGGAGAATGAAGGAAAACATTGATATGGACCACTGGCCTCCACATGTGCGCACACATGCACACACATGTGAACATGTATACACATACACATGTTAGAGAGAGAGGCTAAGTGATTTCTGTAGCCCTTGACCTTCCAAGAGTAACTCCATGCCCATCAGGACCCAGTTCTTTTTTTCTTAGGACACCCTGCCTGTGTTCAGTAAATTCCAACTCATAGAAACAAACAGCGTGTAATACCCTACACATCTCCAGAGTGTCTCTCTCTCTCTCTCTCTCTCTCTCTCTCTCTCTCTCTCTCTCTCTCTCTCTCTCTCTCCACTTATATGACTATTAATCCATCTCTTCTGGGTTGTGTTTCTCTGGATACAGGAACTTCTATCTTGGGTTAACCAAGAAACACTGATAGCTTCGACAAGGAGACAATGAGATGGACTATAGATAGAATTTGAAGATCAAGTCCAGGAAGGCTTGCTTAGGAATTGGACACAAGGGAAGAGGTGAGCAGGCCTACCTTGGGGGCATTTAGAAAGAGTGAAAATATTTATGCTACACAAAATGGTGTCTGTTGAGTCAGTGAGAGATATCATATCTATATTTGAGTCCTAGTGTAACAAAGCCCCAGACCTTAGTAGGTCCCTAGACTTTAGCACAACTGACTCCATGATGGAAGTAGCATTCCGATTGTAAAACTCAGCACATAGACAGCACCACCTGCCAAAATGAAAATAAAGACCTAACCTGTCAAAGTCTGTAGTTCTAGGAAAGTCTAAGTACTAACCTTGTGTTTTGGCTTCTGTAGTTCTGCTTCTGGCTGGCTGTTCTTGTTAACTGAAGTATGTCAACTTGAACATGGTTTTTGTGCTTAAAAGCTCACCCTGAGAAGGTCTCAGTGCTACACTGGGATTAGGAACACCCAGTGTAGTCAACAGCCAGCTAATAAAGACTTTCTATTGGTTTAAACCCATGTCCAAGGAGTCTTTGTGGCTACCCAATGAGCTGTCCTGGAGCTCCCAATGTAGATGAGGCTGGCCTCGAACTCACAGACATCCTCCTCCTCTGCCTCCTCAGTGCTGGGATTATCCCACGTGATATTCATCTTTTAACTTGGGGAGAACAGAACCTTGAAAACTCAGCAAGATACAACCTGACTGAAGGATTACAGATAGGAGTTGCTGGAGAATGGTAGATTTGTGACTGACAGACCAAGGGAATCCATGACCAAGTGACAGGTTCATGCATAGGAAATTTGGATTACTGTCACTGCAGGTACCTAGGTCCTCTGCAAGTCTCTTTTCTAATTACAAAGAGATCTATATTGCAGTGTCTACCCATTGTCGAATATTAGTTGAAGATGTGTTACCTTTGTTTATGCTGTGGAATATTTGTTTAATGATGCAAAAGATGTGTTGCATTTGTTTAATTCTGTAAAGCTGTGTAATTTGACTGCCTAAAACACCTGATTGGTGTTTTAATAAAGAGCTGAA